TCCCATATCAACTCACACCTGGCACTGTTTTTTGTGGGTTTTTTGTTGTTTTTGTTGTTGTTGTTTTTTAATTTGGCAACCGAGAGCTTCTGGGCAGAGCAGTATTCCATGTAAAGTAACTCTAATGAAATTCTTTAATATGATATATAGAGATCATAGACTAGCAGGTTTTCATATGGTCTTTTCTGCCTCTACTTCCCTAACCGTCCCTTACTCCTACCTTCATACCATCCACATTCTACTACACTTGTCCCCCCACTAAGATCACTCCCCACCAATACAGGTACTCCAAATTAGAAACACAAAAATAAAGATTCAACACTAATGTCCACATGAGTGAGAACAAAAGACCACTGCATTTCTGGGTCTGGGTTACATCATTTAGTATGTTTTTAGTGTTAAGAGATGCACAAGATGAAGCCTGTCAGCCTTTGAGCATTGACAAAAAAGGGGAGGTCCAAGCTTAATAAGGCAGCTTCTGAGAGAAATGAATTAGTTGTCTTAAGGGTTAGGACCCTGTAGGGTCACCAAGCTCCAGTGGATGGCCCCATATCCACAAGTCTATGAGCAGCGCAAACTAGCCCCAAAGGGTTGCTTAAAGGCCCACCAAGGTTGGAATAGGTTAGAGAGATGAGAGTAGCAGAGTTACTGACAGAAGTGGGGATTAACTATGATCAAAACATGTGTGAAATTCTCAAATAATAAAAATATATTTTTAATAGAGGGCCACTGAAAGACTCTACCCAGCAATGTATCAAAGCAGATGCTGAGGCTCATAGCCAAACTTTGGGCAGAGGGCAGGGAATCTTATGAAAGAAGGGGGAGATAGAAAGACCTGGAGGGGACAGGACCTCCACAAGGAGACAAACAGAACCAAAGAATCTGGGCAAAGGGGTCTTTTTGATACTGATACTCCAACCAAGGATCACGCATGGAGATAACCTAGAACCCCTGCACAGATATAGCCCACGGCAGCTCAGTGTTTAAGTAGGATTCCCTAATAAGGGGAACAGGGACTGTCTCTGACATGGACTCAATGGCTGGCTCTTTGATCACCTCCCCTTGAGGGGGGAGCAGCCTTACCAGTCCACAGAGGAAGACAATGTAGCCAGTCCTGATAAGACCTGATAGACCAAGGTCAAATGGAAGGGGAGAAGGACCCTCCTTATCAGTGAACTGTGGGAGGGGCATGGGAGGAGATGAGGGAGAGAGGGTAGAACTGGGATGGAACTAGGGAGGGAGCTGCAGCTGGGGTACAAAGTGAATAAACAGTAATAAATATAAAATAGTTAAAAACTAAAATGTAATTATATATCTTAAATGTGAATTTTTATGAAAGAAAGTAATTTACTGTTCAATATTCATTCACCACCACGTACAAAATTTTCAATGAATACTTTTATATAAATAACTAGAATCAGATACATGGTCTACAGTACTTTCTTTCTTTGATAGTAAATATATGAGACACAAGTGGAAACACATGACTTTAATTCCAGAGGTCATGATGAAGAATCAGATGGATTGCTCACTCTGAGTTCAAGGGTGCCTGCCCTTGCCTACACAATGAATTCCAATCCAGACAGGGCTACATAATGATACTCAGTCTCAACAAAACAAAATAAAACAAACAAAATGTATTTCTATAATACCTATTCACTTTTTAAATATTGCTTTAATTTATTAACTATCATGTCAACATGTCTGATGTAATTAAACAAGTAATAAATTCAGTGGAACACTAGGCCATTCAATAAAACATAATAAATAATAATATGCTTAAAGACACAGACTGGTGATATTCTGATTTTGGTGAAATCACTTATACTATACTAAAACTTTAACCCTATAAAAACTAACTCTAAGAAGCCAATTGCTGTCAATGTCTTTCCCTTCTAATTCTTGAAACTCCATGTTAAAGAAATAAGAAAAACCAAGTATATAGGAGCAATACTTGATTTAAAAGTATTATGAACGTCTTGTAATCCCTCCACTATGGTCCCCTAAGCTGAGACAAGGTTTCTCTCTGTACACCAGGCTGACCTGAAACTCAATTTGCAGACAAGGCTGGGCTTGAACTCAGAAATCCATGTTCCTGAGTGCCACAATTAAACACCTGTACCACCACTGCCCCGCACATCTTGTTACTCTTAAACATTTCTGAGGGTAGAAAGCTGTGAAATAGAGACTGTTTAAAACAGCAAAGATACGGCAAAAATTATCTGGCAACAACACAGTGTTGACTAAGAAGGGGAATGCTATATCATATAAGGCACAACCTACAACTTTGGTGATACGTTACAAAATACAATTCTCAAAGGACACTCAATACACGAAAATCTCTTTTCAACACCAATAAAAGTCTAAGTTGTTATAAATTGAGAGAAACAAGTAGTAATCCTATTGATACTACTTTGGTAGGTGAAATACTCCTAAATATTGAGACTATCAACCTATACATTTTCATTTGAATTATCACTAAAAGTCAGATAGTAAGAAAAATAATTATGATATTTAAATGTTTTAAATTATTTTCAGTGAAATTATGGATATCTGGTCAATTATTACTCTTTTAGAAAGACTATGTAATTTAAGATGGAATTTAAGTACATGACCAAACTTAATCAGGAACAGAGAATACACATTTCTGTACCGTTTATTGTTTGTTTGGAAAAAAAGAGATTAAATGTATAATTAACATGGAAAATATGCTCTGAGATTTCACACATATATAGGAACAGTTCTTTTTCTGCCCCCCATGAAAATAAAACATGTAGCTTCTTTGTCTAATTCTATTTTCATGTCTAATTTCAAAAAAACTCTTAAGATCATTTACTAACACTGATTCTTTACAAACGTTAAAACTCAGATGTGATAAAACACAAGACTGCTTTACTGAAGGACTCTCTAGTGGGGTCGTTTTTAATTGCAAATGATTCCCAGGAGAAAACCTAAGAAACCAAAGCAGTGTTTATCTGTTTAGACAAGGAGTCACTGTGTAGCCACAAATTCCCTGCAGTCTATTGTAGAAGAGTAAAACAAAACAAACATAAAAATACTTCAGGAAACCCAATGTAAGACACAAATTAAAATAAACTACAAAGGTGATGATTCTTCAAGTAAATATAACAACCCCATGAAAATGAAAAACAATGTTTGTGTGTGTGTAAAATGATAACCTAAGAAGATCAAATAGGCACTTGATGTAAAATGTTTACTTATACAACACACAAAACACACTATAGTTAGTAACCTTTATGGCTTACATATCTTTCTTTCCCTATGTGCCTGAGCGCATGTGTGTTTTGTATATATTTTTAACAGTTGACAGCTGTTTTAGAGCATACAGAGATGCCAAGCTGAATGAGGGTCTTGATTACTTCAAGATTAGCTATCTAAAGTTTCTATTCATTTTAAGTGTTGTTAGTTGGAAGAGTCATTAGTCACTTCCTTGTCTCATAGAACATCAGCATACATTTACATTGTTAATGAACATTTGGGGTAAATGAATTAATGGCACTTTAAAACATCAATTCAGTCCTAATAACTTGGAATGTCACAGAAATGTTAGGCTAGGATATAAATGAAAATCCATTTCAGTAAAGGTAACTACTCATTCCTTCAGACAATAAAAGAAAAAAATTGACTTAAAATGTTTTTAACTAGGTTAAAAAAATGCTCAATGTTTGATGAAATAGCCCAAAGAAAAAATATTTGCTTAAAACAGAAAAGAAAATTATTTATCTCAAATAAGAGTATCAATAAGAAATATTCTGCAAAGTATTGGCAAAACTGTTTTATGTACTTCTAATACGAATATATATTCACTTTACAAGCATTTATGGAATTATGAGTACTTCTTACAGGTATTAAATTTAAGAAAAACATTACTAGAAAAGCTTTCATGCTTTCTTACCACATATTAAAATACTTCAACTGAAATAATCAAAATTAAATTTCATATTACCCAAATCTAAACAAGTCTTTTTATATACAGCAAACTAACAAAACTTCACAAATTAATTTTAAAGGGCAAATGCTGCTTTTTTCAACAAAAATATCAATGGTATTTATAGGATGTAGAAGAGAGAGAGTCTTTCTCTCTCTCTCTAAAACACACACACACAAAGTAAAAACACAAAAATAAAGAGCTTTTGTTCTGTAGAAATGACCGTTTTAGGAATCAGTTACTTTTTAAAAGTACCAAAATGTCATGGTAGATTTTAACATCAATATACAGGCAACAATAACTTTATTTGAAGCATAAAAAATACACCTGAATTCTTTTAAATTTGTTTGAAATAGATCTTATAATATTAGTATTTACATTTAATGAATGAAAAAATACTAGTAGTCACTTGAGCAAGGAACTTTATTACATACTTAATGAACTACTCACAAATAAAAACATGGCTACAACAGTTTTCACAAACTCCTCATGAAACCCTAGCAAAAAGTTCATCCTAGAACTGAGCTCAATTTAATGTGGATAAAGGGGTGTAAATTACCTGAAAACTCATTACCAACAGCTTATGATTCTTCAAGACATGTTTGACAAAGGGTATTTTGTATTTCAACAATGACTTTATATATTAAAGACACTATCTACTATATGACTTTTTATTTAATTTTTAATATTTTTTTTTGTAAAGACAGGGGACAGGATTTCTTTGTGTAGTCTTGGCTATCTGGCTTGCCTTGGAGACCAGGCTCACCTCAAACTCATTGAGATCCACCTGCTTCTGCCTCCCTGAGTGCTGGGATCATAGGCATGTGTCATCGTACCCAGCAGTTAATGCATTTTCAACCTTCAATACAAAGTGAACTTTTTCTGGTATTCACTAGCATCAAGAGTATTCTACACATATCTAGCAAAATATTCTTAAAGTTGTTCTGATTAGCTTCATGAAAGACTTACATCCATTGTGTGGGAAGAACTTACTGAAGCCCCTCTGTTAAGTTCTTAGCATATGCAAACAGCAGCTGGACACAAAACTTACCTCCAGACTTATTTGAATAATTGAACAAGGGGTCAATGCCCACTTCTTGTTCTTCTGATTGCAGAGGATGTCTAGTTTCAGACACAGACTGATACATTTCATTAAGTGGAGAGACAGTCACCGAGAAAGATTACCTAAATGGAAAATAGAAAAAAGATGAATATATTTTTTGTGATTCAATTGGAAAGGAATGCTAAACAGAATGAAATGATTAAATGAACACTGCAGACATCAACAAGATTTCTACAGGCTACCAGGCTGATCTAATACTACACTTTGAGGAACTTGTGCAAAGTGTAAAAAACTGCCAATAATATTCCATGCTAACATGCTTCAAAAACATCAGGACTTCGTATATAACCTTTATTTTCGTGAAGAGTGATATCTATTTTTAATAAAATTTATACAAAAATTTTAACTGAAAAATTTTTAAAATCTCGTATTTATAACAATTTCTTTAATACAGCAGTGATTTACACTTTAATAAGAATTCACAAAAATACAGCCAACTAAAATTACTCCTACTACTACTAGTGAAAAACACCACTGCTAATAGCTTACTGTATTATACTTACACCCGTCTTTACAGTGGACATGTTCTCAATGTGATCCACCATGAAAACAAGCTGATTATATACAACTATTACTAAATTTCATTAATTTTTACTAAATTGTCATGAATATTGTCCTTGTGTCTAAACTGCAATTTCTAATGCATGTCTGGCACTCCATTATATAGTTATCACAATTTATATAACCAATTCTTGATAAAAAAAAAATTGGGATGTTCTCCTTTGTTCACCTCAGATGCCCTCAATAATCATTAGTCATATACATGATTATTTTCTTTAAAAAAACATCTACAATTGCACCTAAATATACAATAAAAACAAAGTTTTACAGTGTTTTGGCATGATATATATAAAGAGACAATTCTTCTATACTGTAATTGCTTGATAGTTAGCAAGGTTACTAGGAATTTCCTGTGTTTCTCTGACAATTCTACCAACTAACCACTGAATGAAACATCTAAAAGTATAAATCAAAATAAAACTTTCCTCCATTAACTTGGTGCTTTATGTTAACAAAGCTGATTAACACCTTAATACTTTCAATGTCATTAAAGTATAAATTATATGTGGAAACAAACTATAATATCCACTCCGGGAAAAAAAAAAAAACATTTTCATCAATTTTTATTCAATATTATGTGAGCAAATTTTCTTCATTTCAAGGGCAGTGAGGTGTGGGCAATGATGGTACACGCCTTTAATCCCAGCATTCAGGGCAGAGGCAGGTGGATCTCTGTGAGTTCCAGCCCAGCCTGGTCTTCAGGGCTACTTCCAAGACATCCAAGACTACACAGAGAAACTGTCTCGAAACAACAAGAGACAGTGGGGGCTTAAAAATGAAACGCAAAACTGAGAAAAATTAGTGAGAAAGCAAGTGCAATGAACGTGATATCTAAAAATCAAGAAAATAAAGCCAATTTTACAAGATTTTGTGTTTAAACATGTAACAGGTTTCAGAGACACTACACAGATCCTTATTAACATTTCTGCAATTCAAAATGTCTCAATATCTTATTTGCTTTATCTCTAAAATCTTCACCTTATAAAATACATCTGTGATTTCTCTGATTTTCATCAAAACAATCTAGCTCCCTTGCTCACCAACAAACACAATTCGGTGTACACAAGTAAACTTCCGTGGGATTATGGCTATACCAAAAGCAGGAGACTGAGGGTGAATATTGTGAATGTGTTGGTTGGTTTTTGTTAACCTAACACAACTAGAGTAAGCTGGGAAAGTGGATGCTGATAGAGGAAATACCTCCAACAGGATGACACGTGAGCACATCTGAGATGAATTTTCTTGATTAATGATTGATGTGCAAGGTCTCACATCATTATAAAAGGTGCCAAAAAGGCAGATGGTTCTAGGTTAGAAAAGAAAGCTGGCTGAGAAAGCAATGGAGAGCAAGCTGGTAATCTATGTTCTTTGATGCTCTCTACTTCAGTTCCTGACTCCGGATTTCTGCTTGAGCTCCTGTACTGGTGTCCCTTGAAGATGGACTCTTTAACTTGTCTTCTATCTCCAAGTTGCTTTTGATGTCCTTTATCACAGTTTACTAAGAAGCAAACGACATTGTAAACATGAAACAGGATTTCCTAAAACCAGAGAATGCAACCTGATATAATCTAAGACAGTTGCCAGAGTTTACTTATGTATATTCAAATCAATAAACTCATATAAAAGGAACTTTGGAGAATAGAATCCAGTAGATGATAACAAAATACAGATTGTTATAGTATAAAAGCGATATCAAATGAATGAATTCACTTTAACAAATAAATGAAGAGAAGACCTTCTACTGCAGACAAACAGATAATGAACAAATTGAAATTTGTAAAGAAGTCTGGCAATCAGTATTAGTGACACTTAATATTTAAAGCAGTAAATATATGGGGAAAACAGTGTGTCACTCTTCATTCTCCCTATAATCTACTTACGTATCTTCTTTGTCTTTACTTACATTTTACCAAAGAGAAAATGGAATAAACTTGCTCTACCACACTAATTAATTAATTTTTGCATGAATGTTTGTTCTGCCTACATGTGTGTCTGGTAACCAGAGGACAGACAACAGCACTGAATCCCTTGGCAGTGGAGTTACAGAAGTTTGTGAGCTACCATTTGGGCACTGGTTAATTGAACCCATGTCCTCTGAAAGAGCAGCCAGTGCTCATACTGCTTAGCCATCTCTACAGCCTCACATTGTAAACACTAAAGCCAGATTCTGAACACATTGTTTGTTTCCAAAGCTCACATTCTTTTTCCTTCACTACTTGGGTTTTTCAGGAGGAAGTTAGAGAGAAACCAACTATACAACAATGAAAGTGAGGGTGAGTAACTGAAGCATCCTTCATTGATTCTCTTTTGTCAAGATAGACAGCAGTTACCCAGAACGGTATGAAATCTTACTGGCACATAAAGGCTAATAAAACAAACTTTTAAATAATTACTGCACAGAATAGATGGTTTAAATACATTTCAAATTTATACTTAAATATGGGTATTTTGAAATAAGATTCATATCCTGTTTTATATTCTTAAAACTAATAGCAGTAAAATATGAACATGCCTATTCTAAGCTGTTAAATATCCTTCAAACATCTTGAATTCTGTAACCTGGACTTTCATAATCATATTACTTTAACTTCTTATTTTTATACTAAATTCTACTCTTACAAGCTTTAAAACTCGAAGTTAATCAATTTAGGGATTTTTAATGTTCTGAAAAATAGTTAACAATCTAACTGAGAACAAAGTCTATTTTAGAAAGTAGTGTTGAGCTGGGGTAGAGTTCAGCTGGTAGAGAGCTTGCCCAACAGGTATGAAGCCCTGAGTTCAATCCCTGGCACTAAGTAAATTCAATGTGCTAGTTCATCCTAGGCAACAATAAACCATATCTCAAAAAGGGGGTATAGAGAAGAGTCCATTGGGGTCCACAATGGTATCATATAACTGTTGTCGCAAATACCCAGAAGCCCTGACAATACAAAAAGCGAGCCCTACACATCTGAAAAACATAATGATGTTCACACCTTTATAAGATTCTAAGATACTTAAGAACATTTTCATTCCTAAGAGAAGGTAAAAATTTCAAAAATGATTTGATGAAATTAGCATTAATTACAATTCTTTACAACAGTGGTTCTCAAGCAATAGGTTGCAACACCTTTCGGGTCGAATAACCATTTCACAGGAGTTGAATATCAGATATTGACATTACAATTCATAACAGTAGTAATGAAGTAGTTATGAAGTAATTGTATGGTTGGGGATTACCACACATGGAAAACTGTATAAAAGGGTTGGAAGTATTAGGTAGTTTGAGAACCACTGTTAGAACTTGAAAAGTCTCTGGCAATAACCAAAAGCCAGAAAATGAAGTTAACTGTTAAAAAGATACTAAGCTACAAATATTTTATACAATGAGGAATGCACTATATCATAATTTGTGATGTCTACATATCAAAACTGAGACATTAAAATGTATATATAATTAAACAAAGTAAACCCGCAGATTAGTAATAAGTTAGTTTCAAATAATCTATAGATAGTGTATGGATGATATTCTTCATTTTGTTTTAATTACAGGTTTAAATACCAATCTAATTCAAAAGTAACGAAAAAAGTTGCCACCTTGATTTCTATGGCTTTGTTTTAAATATAAGGGGATATATTAGTTTTTAGAGTAATTGGAATAAGCTAGAAAAAAAGGAAGTAAAATGTTGCTTTTGAATGTGCAATAAAATTACTAGCAAAAATATACCCAAAAATGATTATGAAGCAGTTAAAAGATCTTCAAACAAATATGTCTATATTCATTTATTGTCTATATTCATTAATTGTTTGAAATGAGTTATCTACCCATAAATATCATATACCCAAATTTCTTATCTTATTGGTCTGATGGACTTTTTTTTATAAATTTAGTGATCCATTATACCTGAAATTTTCTTTTACAGATCTGACATGAATTTTATACTACTGCAACCTAATCATCTAACTTCCTTGTGAATAAAAATAAAGCTGAAAATTTCTTAGAAAATGAAAACTTAAATCAATAATTGAGAGACTTCAATTCCCTGAAATAATGATAATCAATCTCTAAATTCTAATAAAAATGTTTTTTCCTGTGTTTTTAAATACATCAAAGTAAGCATTCTTTCTTAAATTTAGAAACACAGGAACAAACATTTTATACATCAGAAAACATACATATTTCCTTTGTTATTCTTACTAGCATACACGTTTTTGTGCTCCATAAAACTAAAAATTAAAAACCTGGAGACTGGTTTTATTGTAATGCTTCGAAACTACCCTAGTAATAAGACTTCACAAATTCAGCTGAAATTTCTGTTCATGAACTAAAATTAATCTTAAAGATAAGTGGACTGTTTTCAGAAGTCTGGTTCTTACAATACTAGATCTAAATATGAAAATATTTGAAGAAAAGTATTTACCTGGAACATTTTATACATTAATAAAAAGCTTACAACACAACGGTTATTTCAAAGGTTAGGGTTTATCATTAACATTGGGATTTAAAGTATATTAAATACAT